TATGTGAAATCTGTCTATATATATATATATATATATATATATATATATATATATATATATATATATATAGAGAGAGAGAGAGAGAGAGAGAGAGAGATTTACTCCGAATTTTTATTCCTTCCAATGTTATTATAGTGAACACTCTTATCTGAAAACAGACGCCCATTTTTATTTTTATTTTAAACACTATTATATCTATCGGCTTGCGTATTTAAAAAGTCTTACTAAAGAAAATATGCATTCCAACTGTAATGAAACCTGCGTCCGCCGTTTGTTGGTAAAACCACCATTTGATCTGGCTTGCACAACCACTTAGCTACAGGTAGTGTCACAGTTCAGCAAAGCTCTATTTCTCTCGCACGGCCGAAACGTTGTGATAAATATGGCGACAAAGATGAGGACAATAGTCCGAATAATGTAAATAGTGTACATAATACCTCATCTCAGAAATATAGACAGATACTGAAAGGCCGAAACGTTGTAGTAAATATGGCAACAAAGATGAGGACAATAGTCCGAATAATGTAAATAGTGTACATAATACCTCAACTCAGAAATATAGACAGATACTGAAAGGCCGAAACGTTGTAATAAATATGGTGATAAAGATGAGGACAATAGTCCGAATAATGTAAATAGTGTACATAATACCTCATCTCAGAAATATTGACAGATACTGAAGGGCCAAAACATTGTAATAAATATGGCAACAAATATGAGGACAATAGTCCGAATAATGTAAATAGTGTACATAATACCTCATCTCAGAAATATAGACAGATACTGAACATTGACAGGACCCAAAGAGTGTGAGTTACCGATTGAAAATGATTTCACTTGATCATTCATGTACAGAGTACGCCTGTTATAAAAAGGATATTAAATACGGAAGTCACTTTATTTAATAAAAAAATATGTACACTTGACTTTAACGAAAAATAAAAACAGTAAAAACGGTTACTAAATAATACTGCTCTCAGCCTAGAGTACATCTTCGACATAGGGCCAGAAGAGTGTGCATGCCTGTTTGAAGTGATACTCTTCGTTCGTGTTGACCATCACGTCATTTACGATGTCGGACTTCGACGAATTTTTCGTCTCCTGCAGTAGCCAGGGGATTTATGTTCAGTAGAGCATGGGTGCAATGTGCTTAAAAATTCTTTGCTTGCTATACCTGAGTCACAAGGCTCATGCGACAGTCCTCCTGTTATATTTAGAGCTTCCCACTGGCCATTCCCACTCCGATTCTGAACTTGAACACTGTGCCCAACATCTCAATGTAGGCGATGAAATTCGCTCGGAAGCTCACTGGAAAGACATGCATGCTATTGTTCACGTTTGCACCATCACAGAAGACATGAATTTGCATCACCATGGTTAGCCACATGAGGTTTACATAGAACCATAGAACCATTTTAAATTCTAGTCGTGAAGAAGAAGCAGAGAACATAGTTTTCAGGAGATAATCCTTTTTTTTATCTAGCACGTAAATCAAATCATACGATGCTATCAAAACTTGTTTGATATAAACTTCCTAACTCTTCATTAGGTAGGACTTGGTCCTAATGTCCTCAAGCAGCACATGTCAACTTGAGCTGTTCGGTGATGGCTTTATTGATTGCTGGTTTGATAATGTGCTGGGCATTCCGGACGAATACGGGTTGTACTTACATCATCTGACTGCACAGAATGTTTATTTCTCTTGGCTACAAATGACACGTTGCCGCCACAGAAGACCGACTCTTACTGATTTTGAACGCGAAGGACCTGGACGCTTTTAAGAAGTTGGTTATCACTGAGTGACCGTAGATGTCGGGCAGTGCACCGAACACGGAATGTCATTTCATTTCCTGTGTTAAATTGGAAGTTGGCATGTTAAAGCACTCGATAAGTCTGAAAGAGAAATGGACATTTTAGAATTTGACCTATAGTGCCTAATATCACATTATATCTGTTTCCACTTATTGCTCTCTCAATGTGTGTTTGGAAATATCTTAAGAATTATATATATATATATATATATCTATATATATATATATATATATATATATATATATATATATATATATATATATATTTGTATGTGTGTGTGTGTGTATTTTGTTCATATATGTATTTTTGTTGTCTGTGTGTGTGTGTGTGTGTGTGTGTGTGTGTGTGTGTGTGAATCTGGTTACATCTCTCTCAGATTATATCTGTCAAACACTCTGAAGTTGCTGAACTTTATGTCTCAAATCATCGCTCAGTCTTTCATATATATATATATATATATATATATATATATATATATATATATTATTGTTATATACATATAAGTGCCCACTGTGGTCGGCAACTTGTGACGGCAATCTGTTTATAAATCTCTCTCTCTCTCTCTCTCTCTCTCTCTCTATATATATATATATATATATATATATATATATATATATATATATATATATATATATATGATGAAAATATATGGGTTAAAATGTGCAATGTCAGGGATAGAGCGTTTGTAAATATAATAGTGACCATTAACGAGTTTGTTGCATGCTTAAACGAAATCTATATATAAAGAAACAGACTGCCACCATTGAATGGTTACTTCATTGTCGATTTTATACACACACACACACACACACACATATATATATATATATATATATTAAAAATATTTGCTGTAATTTCCACTCTTTCTCTCTCTCTCTCTCTCTCTCTCTCTATATATATATATATATATATATATATATATATATATATATATATATTTATTTAACCAGTCCTCTTGCTTTCCGTAGAGGTCTGTACATTTCCATAGTTAACCCTATTTCGATTGTTTGAATTAAGCAAAATCGAGTATGCACTCTCATATGTACACATAATACATCTATCTATCTATCTATGTATATGTGTGTGTGCTATCAAAATGTCAGTTGACTGTAGTTGTGAATTTTGAAGCTATTTTTTGTCATCTATATATTCGTGCGATCTCTATATAACTGTCACAGTGGATTAATTCGAAGGATATAATCAAAACTCGGTTTTGAATCCTTTTCCGGTGATATTTAACTGTATGATTTGCCAACTTTTTATTGATTATTAGCCGTTCATCGATATTTATAAAAAAATGTCCCTAGAATTTACAGGAATATTGTGTTGCGCCATTCATTTAAATGTGGAACTCTGAGTCCTTACATTAACCGTAATCTTTCAAAATACTGCTTTGTCCACGGTTTCGAATCATAGCTACAAAAGGTGATATAAACAGTCGTTTGTTCAGACGCCCAGCTGATGTAGAGAGAGTGAAGTTTAATTAGGGAGAAAAATATCTCTTTTATTTTATAATCATATGTTTATCCTCTGTCTATATGTCTGCGACGGGGTATTGCAATTATTTGCATTATTTACATTATTCGGACACTTATCTTCATCTCTATTGACATATTCACAACGTTTAGGCCCCTATATCTCTGAGATGCAGTATTATGATTACTTGCATTATTTACATTATTTGGACTCTTATCTTCATCTCTATTGGCATATTCACAACGTTTAGGCCCCTATATCTCTGAGATGCAGTATTATGATTATGTGCATTATTTACATGATTCGGACTCTTCATCGCTATTGACATATTCACAACTTTTATGCCTCTATATCTCTGAGGTGAGGTATTACGATTATTGTATTATTTACATTATTCGGACTGTTATCCTCATCTTCATTGCTTTATTCACAACGTTTAAGCCTCTATATCTCTGAGATGAGGCATTATACTTACTTACATTATTTATATTATTCGGACTGTTATTCTCATCTACATTGCCATGTTCACATTGTTTAGGCCTCTATATCTCTGAAATGAGGTATTATGATTACTTGCATTATTTACATTATTCGGACTCTTATCTTCATCTCTATTGACATATTCACAACGTTTAGACCTCTATAGCTCTGAGGTGAGTTATTATGATTACTTTTACTATTTAAATTATTCGACTGTTATCCTCATCTTCATTGTCATATTCACAACGTTTAGGCCTTTACATCTCTGAGATGAAGTGTTATGTTTACTTGCATTATTTACATTATTTGGACTGCTATCCTCATTTTCATTGCCATATTCACAACGTTTGGGCCTCTATATCTCTGAGATGAAGTATTATGTTTACTTGCATTATTTACATTATTCGGACTGTTATCCTCATCTTCATTGCCATGTTCACAACGTTTCGGCTTCTATATCTCTGAGATGAGATTTTATGATTACTTGCATTATTTACATTATTCGGACTGTTATCCTCATCTCTATTGACATATTCACAACGTTTAGACCTCTATATCTCTGAAATGAGGTATTATGATTACTTGCATTATTTACATTATTCGGACTCTTATCTTCATCTCTATTGACATATTCACAACGTTTAGACCTCTATAGCTCTGAGGTGAGTTATTATGATTACTTTTATTATTTACATTATTCGACTGTTATCCTCATCTTCATTGTCATATTCACAACGTTTCGGCCGTTGTACGCTTCGGCCTTCTTCAGATGATTGGAACTTCGAACCGAACCCTTTTATTTCGTTCACCGGGGTAGATTGATGTAGTTCCACGTTCCATGCCTCTTCTAGATGTCCCAGTTTTAACTAAGACATCCGGAAGATGCATGGAAAGTATGATGTAGATATAATACTGTTTATTTATTTGAGACCTTTATAATTTAAAAATCAGGAGGTCAGTTGAATCCACTAGCTTGATTTCAAATTTAAGGTATCCTCAGTCGGTTTTTACATTTTTTTTATGTCTCTAGAATTTACAGGAATAATCTGTTCCACCTCTCATTTGAATGTGGAACTCTGAGTCCTTGTATTAACCATAATCTTACAAAATACAGCATTGTTCACGGTTTCAAATCCTATGTTAATCATATCTATCCATTCTAATAATTTAGTTTCTGACTGTCTTTGATTTCACCCACCTTAGAAAGATTAAGAGAATTAATGATGTAGATCTAACACTATTTATTTAAGAGCTTTCTTCGAGTAAATCATGCATTGCTTCACGCACGATTTATGTTCACTTGTAAATAGTTATATTTTGGCCCACTTCAGTCCATTCTTTAGTGGGTCACATACGGTGATTAAATACTTGCATTTACAAAGAGAACTGGACTAATAAACTGAAGAAAGTGGGAAGAAGAAGAAAGAAGATCAGATGTGAAAGAAAAAATATGAAAGAAAGAAAAGTGAGAGAAAAAGAATGAAGGAAACGTATAGAAGAGAAAAAAATGTAAGAAAAGTAGGAAAAGATGGCAAAAGGTGATTGAAAATCGATTATTTGATAAATCTTTTAGCTGAAGATGATTATCCTTGTTCTTTCATTGATGATATTTTGATCGGTAGAGTCTCCGACCTATTTTAGTAAAAAAACAGCACCTGTAATTTCATAAAAGAAAAATTCTTGCTAAAAAAATTCTTGCTTTAAAAATGAAGAATGGACGTACAATATTGATTTATTTTAAAAATTATTGTGATAGATATAAAGTGTTTTCCTCAATTCTTTTGCCAAGTAAGAATATCACCAGATATAAGGAGAGGCAGATCGATATAAAAAGACGGGTATTGATGGATAGATGGATAGATAGAATCTTACAAATAAAATGAATTTACATAGATGAAGAACAATATTTAAAATCAGCTACTGAATATTTCTCAGATTGGCCCGCTTCCTAGATTCAGTCTTCTTGTAGTTGGTCATTAAACTATTAGAAAATGAGTCAAACACAGAACATTTTGTACACCATTGCATATTACTGTCAGATTACGAATATGCTCAGCAGAATATATATATATATATATATATATATATATATATATATATATATATATCGTGTTTTAATTGCCCCTTCCCTTTAAGTCGTTTGAATAAATCTTTACCTCCCCCGGTATTGTTTTTCTTGTGTTTTTTCTTCTTTTTTTTTTTCTTTGGTCACGTGGTATGATTTTGATTATCGCCTATAAATATGCTGTTTCCCTTTTGCATCTTTAGCCAGATTTCCCTGACGATCCGCTTAGATGAAACTTGGGTAGGTTTGTCTGGCTCACTTGGTTTATCTATCTATCTATCTATCTATCTATCTATATATATATATATATATATATATATATATATATATATATATATGTTAACTGCCCTGTGTCTCTGCTTTACTCTGTGAAAACACTCATGCAATAGTATATATATATATATATATATATATATATATATATAATTATTTATTTAAATAAATAATTATTTATTTCATTCCGTATACACCAATCATATACTTGTATATATATATATATATATATATATATATATATATATATATATATATATATAAAGTGAAAGGACAGTCAGATTAAGAATCTACAGTTCTTTGGCATTTACTTTTTCTAAGGTGCGATCGATACAACGTAGACCAAAATATATGACAATTATATATCTATTTTTTATTATATATAATGGTACATATAATATTTATTTAATTCCTTGATCTTTAATTTTGATATTGCCATGCCTTATAATCCACTGAATATAAGTCTTGTATTTTTGAATCAAAATAATAAAATTTCTATAAAACAATTTAATCATATTCTTAGGCGCCTTTATGATATATACAAAAATAATCTTAAAAATAATACTAAAATTAACCTATATATATATATATATATATATATATATATATATATATATTCTATCCTTTTTTAAATTTATACACATATATATATATGTGTGTGTGTGTGTGTGTATGTATGTATATATATTTTATATATTTTATATATATATAGATATATATATGTGTGTGTGTGTATTAACCAATATATATATATATATATATATATATATATATATATATATATATATATATATATATATATATATATATATATATATATATATATATATATGATTATTTATTTCATTCTATCTTGCAATTATATTTCTTAACCGGAAGTAATGGTATGCCGTCTCAATATGACAGCTTATCTAGACAAGTAAGAATAACGCACCCCTCCAAAACTCTATCCTCTATTTTTTACTCTTCTGCTTTAGCTTAGACCTGGTCAAATAGGACATATCCATAAAATGTTCAAATCTTGTTCCCGACTCCTTATTAAAGTTTTCAATAAAATAGGGTTCTGTTTTCAAAAGTAAAGCATTTTCATCAGAAGTTACGTAACATCGGTTGATAATGGAACAAATTAAAATTCCGAAACATAGAAATATCCGTGTTGAGATATTATTTAAATATAAATAAAAATATTATTAATACATACATGTGTGTGAGAGAGAGCGTTTGTGCATGCGTGTGTGATTGTGTGTGTGTGTGATTGTGTGTGTGTGATTGTGTGTGTGTGTGTGTGTGTGTGTGTGTGTGTGTGTGTGTCAGGGGGGAGAATTTCTCGGCTCAAACCACTTTCCCAAATGAGAAATCAGAATTAATTTTAAACAGATGGTTTGTCAATCAGTTTTATCAGTACATCCTCAAATACGAATAAATATTTTCTGATCATGACAGTTCATCAACATGATCTTATATATTTAAATTACTAAATATGTGTGTGTGTGTGTGTGTGTGTGTGTGTGCGTGTGCATGCCCAGTGTAGACCGATGTTTTTAAAATCGACATTAAAAGCGTTTAAAATCTTGTATAATCTTTCAGGATTTACTGTCAATTGCACGATAAACTCGATTATCTGATGCCGAGATACAAATTATTATTGAAACTGACAGTAATTCCTGCAAAGCTTACAAAGCCAGAGATTTGGAACGTTTCAAATGACGATTTAAACAAAAAAACATCGAGTAAGGAAGAATAGGGTCTTCAATAAAATAAGCAACAGAAAGAATAATTCAGCTCAGAACCAGGAAGAAACAACTGTAATTCTTTGGCAAATGAGGCCTTCTAGAACTTAACCCTAGTTGGTGATGTTGAGGGCAAGAAAAATAAGGGCATCTATTGAGCCACCCTCCTTCCTCTGAATAAATGGTGGAACGGTAGTAGGGTGCGTAAGAAAGACAGAAAAACTTGATGCTGCAACGGCTAGGAAGTTTTAAAGGGACAAGATCAGCCAAGTAAAACATCAATGATGAAAAGGCAACAGGGATTTGCATAATTATCTGCGTTTCTATCTATCTTAGATAGATAGTGTGATAGGTATGAACAGACATAGATAGATAGATAGATAGATAGATAGATAGATAGATAGATAGATAGATAGATATTAACTGACATAGATAGTGTTGAAACTTGACTAATGCATGGAACAATAATGCAACACAAAATGTACTTAGAACAAAATGTATTGAAACAGGAACGTGTACACAATATTTACATAGCGTCTTTTGGATATTCCTGGTAAGACCGTTCCTGGAGAATGTGTTGACTGAGTCGCAGTCGGGCAGAGTCTCTGGATTGAATCTCTTGATTCCTCCCTACTCTCTTCCCGGTACCAATCATATTTATATGGTCGGTACTCCACTATGCAAATTAGGTGGATCCTACCACAACAGATAGATAGATAGATAGATAGATAGATAGATAGATAGATAGATAGATAGATAGATAGATATGAACAGACTGAGATAGACAGATAGATATTAACTGACATAGATAGATAGACAGATAGATATGAAGAGACATAGATAGATAGATAGATAGATAGATAGATAGATAGATAGATAGATAGATATGAAGACATAGATAGATATAAAGATAGATACGAAGAGACATAGATAGATAGATAGATAGATAATTAACTGACATAGATAGATAGATAGCTAGATAGATAGATAGATATATGAACAGACTGAGACAGATAGATATTAACTGACATAGATAGATAGAGAGATAGATATGAAGAGACGTAGATAGATAGATATAGAGATAGATATGAAGAGAAATAGATAGATAGATAGATAGATAGATAGATAGATAGATAGATAGATAGATAGATAGATATAAACAGACATAGATAGATAGGTATGACCAGCATTAGATTGATAGTTAGAGAGAGAGAGAGACATTCTTTAAAATTTGTTATATTTATAGAAGAGATATTTCTGGATATATATTACGTATAGGAATCTCTTTGAGATTTGAAATTCGGCAAGCAATGTTGATTGCAATGTTTCCAATATAGGTAAAGGATAACTCATCAGTATATCTCGAGATGTGATCCCCCACTTTTTTTCTATGTTATGAACACTCGTGTTTTGTTATATTTGTCTGACCAATCATTTGCATTCGTTTATAAAATTCAATAAGTCCATTCCTTTTGTAATGCAACGGTTTTGAAGAATTTTTCGAGAAAGGATCTTTCAATATATTTATTCAATAATTCTTTATATATTCGTTACTTTCATCATGTACTCACGTGTAGATCTATGTACAATAAGATTTATCGTACTTTAAGCTGAGCAGCGATGATTGAATGTTTTTCCATGCGAGTTTCACCATTTTATCAGTGGTGTCTAGTAACAAACAGGCGCTGATAACTGGCGCACAATACTCGCTGGAAACAGATATGCATTGATATTCTTACATATATAATTGAATTTACCCTCTCCGCACCGATATATGGCTCTATTGAAGAACATATTGTGATGAACAGACTTCGATAGATAGATAGATAGATAGATATTGTTACTTAGCAATATTTTCAGGAAATTGGAATCAGATAATGGTTAAAAGAATAAACAATGAATATTTCAGTGTATATAAATTATTTTCGTCAGTATAAATCTAATTTTCAATAAATGTTATTTAACAAAAAGTTGTTATACTAAAATGCGCCCGTGTGGGTGGGTGTGTGAAAAAGAACTTATTGGGTCATTAAAAAAAAAAGAGTTTTAGAATATTAAAAAGCAGTGTAGCGGTTATCGGCGCGGAAAATGGACTCGCCACGCTGTGTTTCGTTCATTTTGGCCGGACCTTCTTGAAAAAGGCATGAAACAGTCTTCCTCTATAGCCGGATATACTGGTTTCTCTTGGCTTGGTTAGCAGCTAATCAAGGAGAAGAAAAAATATGAATTCGAAACCTGTTTGAAAGGAGATCGAGTTCGATCAGACTCTCCTAGCCGACAATGCATCTAAAACTGTAATGTATTATGGGAAGTGATCATGATCAAATTCTAAAAGCTATTATCGAAAGTATAGAGCTAGCAGACACGGAAAAGAAATTACAAAACCTTTCACAAAAGGTGGCGAGGGAGATCGAGAAGAAAGGACTAAGTATAAACTACAAGAAGACAGAATTCATGGTCATCAGTAAAAGGATGAGCCCGAAATGTGATTTACAGGTCGGAGACACTAAAATCAAGCAGGTGCGGAATTATAAATATCACGGAAATGTTTTGACAGCGAACGGTAAATGCGACGCTGAGATTCAAATACATATTGGAATGGCCAAAGACGCATTCCAAAAGCGAGGCAGATTCTTACGAGACAGGAGGATTTCTCTGGGAACAAAGAAAAGAGTACTGAGCTGCTACGTAACATCTGTCCTCATTTACGGCCTCCACAAAGATGAAGAAGGGACTCGAGGTTAACGGAAGTGTGGTTCTACAAGGGATGATAAGGATATCATGGACCAAGCATGTGAGCAACGATGAGGTTTTGAAGAGGTTATAAACAAGGAGGAAGTTTATGCTTAACATCGGACAGACGTAATGAGAAAGGAGGGCTTGGTGAATCTGATACTCACAGGTCGAATAGAGGTAAAAAGAGACAAGGGAAGGCAACAACACTTATTGAGAGCTTCAAGGGATAAGTGGAAGTGTAGAACCATGATCGCCTATGTCCTGATGGGACACGGCAAATAAAAGAAGATAGAGCTATTTGTAAATTTTGAATGCATACAAACAAGAAGGACGCTTATGTCTGACATCAGAAAGAGGTAGCTGAAGTTTCTGACACACGTAATGAGAAAGGAGGGCTTGGTGAATCTGATACTCACGAGTCGAATAAAGGGAAAAGGAGACAAGGGAAGGCAAGCATGACATACCTAGCGGACTTGAGCCAGTGGAGGACAGACCATGGCCTTGGGGAACTAACAAGGGAACAAAACTTATTGAGAGCTACAAGTGATAGGAAGAAGTGGAGAGCCATGAACGCCTACGTCCTGAAGGGACCCGGCACATAAAATAAGACAGAGCTATTTCTAAATCATTAGTAAACATAGTGTACTTGTTGCAGATCGACAATGTAAAAGGTACTCGAGTGAGTTCGATCCTGATTGGACGTTACAATTTCGTATTTACAAAGCTCACTTTATAAAATCTTTTCCATGAGATGAAAGATCTGTTCCATAATGTTGACACACAAATGATTATTAGTTCAATCGTAACTTCATGCTGTTATTGTATACTAACAGGCTCCACCCGCTCGCTATCGTAAGATATATCCACTACTTGTAATCTTTGAAACAAAAAGTTTAAATGAGCGTTTCATTCATAAATTGGCTTGTTATAGCTAAGGAAGGATTTACAAATAGATGCCAACTTCTTGAAGGCCAAATGCAAATTTCAAACACTTTTCTGCACTATAAAAAACGATGTTTCTAAACAGAATTATTCTTGATATGAAAATCAAAACAATCCTCGAATTAAAGAACAGTAATGAAGGACAGTTAAGAAGTGAAATAAACTTTTTTTTTAAATCAGTATGCAAATTACTTAAACCTGAAGAGTGATATTGCCTGGAAGTAGATAATATATAATACAGTTATTGAGCCGTTAGTGTGTAAATTGCTATGAAATAGAACCAGGCCAGGAGAATTGTCGTTGAACTTTTAAAAGCATCGATCAATTTTGAGTTCTTTAGTTTATTGATGTCTATCGCATCTACTCGTCATTAGCTATTGTGATGATGACCAAACCAAGAGTCCTCCACATGAACTAGCTTAAATTCCGGGCGATAGGGCGGCTTTTAAGCTAGTTTTTAATAAAACATGCACTGCAATTTTGGATGCAGAAGAAAAATAAGAGCTAATCCTCTTGAACCATGAAAGTAAAAATAATGGCTAGTATAATATATTAATATATATTTTTAACCTCGCATAATCAGGCAACCCTGAATCTGAGCTCAACGAAAATCCTTCCATTTGCCTAACTTTATAAGGGCTTTTGAATGAGCTATGAAATATTGAAATCGGACCAGTGGGACCGGAGGAGTTGCTTGGATACATACACACACGCGCAAAAACACGCACATACACTGTACTTTATATATAAGATTAAGGTTTAAGCCAAGTTGAATTGTAATTTCTATTCTCGTTAATGCCAAAATAATTGTAATGCTGGTAACGGACTCTGAATTTATATAATTATCCAATGATAATAAAAAAAAATAGTTTATGTGAAGAAAGGAGTGATACAATAATTGATTTAAAGCAATTTTATACGGTTTTTAAATTTCTCTCTACAATATGATGATTTATAATCGATCGATAATCGATGAATTATTATCGGCAGAAATTTTACTAATTTTATGGAATTCTAATTTTTTGTCATAAAATTTAAACTACTCCTAATTGAAAAAACCTTAGTAGATAAGCCGAATTATATATATATATATATATATATATATATATAGTTGCATGGAAGTATTTTGTATCCCCAGGTTTCACGCTTTTGCTATCATCAGACACACTGGTTTATATTTTCAAAGGTGGATCTATTTATACTTATTTGTGTTTGATTATTTGTGTAGAGTGGAGGTGGGGACTTACCCGTGGTTAACAACTTCCATGCAATTGAATATGTTAGATCTATCACAAATATTGACCACTTTCCACTAAGTACCGCGTATCATATATATATATATATATATATATATATATATATATATATATATATATATATATATATATATATATATATATATATATATATTCATGAATTATTCACAAAAACTAATGCAAAGGTTAATGATTTAATTGGCGAGAAATCCATCATCGCAAACAATTCAAATAATATACAAAACCTCCGAATCCGTTATGAATAAAAGGATCCTTGTTTATATAAATTTCTGCCGTATTAGTTCTATAATGGATGATGGATTTCTCGCCAATTAAATCATTAACCTTTGCATTAGTTTTTTGTGTGAATAATTCATGAATTTGTAAATTGATTGTACGTTTATCGTAATATATATATATATATATATATATATATATATATATGTGTGTGTGTGTGTGTGTGTGTGTGTGTGTGTGTGTGTGTGTGTGTGTGTGAAAATATATAGAAAATAGGAAGGAACTGGTTAGGTAAATAATCCAAAGTCCCTTAGTATTTTAGTTATTATTTTTTAAAAATAGTGCTCGATACAAAAGTAGAGCATAAATATAATTATTTATTTAAAAATATGATTCCTTATGTAGCGATTTGGAATCATATTTTTAAATAAATAATTATATATATATATATATATATATATGTATATATTGTATATTCTTAAATATATATTATATATATATTGCACGTTCCAATATTGTACAACCGTTAATAAATAGCACATTCTTAAAAAAAACATCTTTCGGTCTACAAACAATTATTTCGTCTTCAAGTTTTAACTTTAAAGGAAAATTTATAGCCTGATGATGGAAACATGGTCTTCGAAAGTACTTGCTTAACTTAAAAAATATACACTAGAATCATCTGACAACAGTTTTATAAATGAGTTATTCAATGGATTAACAGTATTTCAATGCATACATTATGTTCTACTAGCGAAGTGATTTCGCCAGTAATCGCATTTCTATTTCTTTATATATATATATATACTGGTCGGTTGTAACGACAATCAGTTTCATGTAAATAGATGACAATTTGTTAAACATCTATACTTAGATCATCAGCCGGTGCCTTCAGAAACTTTGTTCTTATGACACCGGTTCATCGACAACACACATCTGAGAAGAATGTTTCCACTTTGCCTTATATATTCATTATTTCTTTCGATTCTCATTTACCATTACTGACGCGCGTGCGCACGCGCACACACACACATATGTATGTACGTTCAATTTTGTCGCTTATATTTATTTTTAGTTTACTTTGGTAATAAGATAGATAGATAGATAGATAGATCATGAAAAGCAGAAGACAGATAATGAAATGAACAAGATCGTTAGATCATGAAAAGAACTAGATAAATCATGAAAACAGATAGATAGATAGATAGATAGATAGATAGATAGATAGATAGAAACAGAATAGGATAGAAAGAAAAAAGAAAGAAAGAAAGAAAGAGAGAGAAACAAAGAAAGAAAAGGATGAGATAGATAGATAGATAGATAGATAGATAGATCATGAAAAGTACAAAATAGATCAGGAAAAGAACTACTTAGATAGATAAATCATGAAAAGAACAGGATAGACAGACAGATAGGTCATGTAAGATAGATAGATCAAAATGATTTGACTTAAAATACATTGCACCATAGCTTTTACACAGAATTCATCAGGTTTGGCAGAACTCGTTTCGAAATAATTTTTATTAACAGATACATTAAAAAAGGCAATGTGTCTTGTTTTGTTTTTTTTAATGTACCTGGTAATGAAAATAATTTCTTTGTGTTTTACTCTTCTGTTGTGATTTTTATTTTGGTCAGATTCTTCTTTCTTCTTAATCAATCAGATTCAATTGATGGGATTAATTTCTCTTGCATCCAATTAACTATTCCGTCCATTGATTCCGGTTGATTCCAGGATTTACAAGAATATCCTTGACAAAATCTCTTCTATTGGCTTCAAAACTGTGTATGAAAAAACGATCTCTTCCTCAGCTGTCATTTATTCAATATATTAATGAAAATATTCTTCCTTAACTCTGGTGCTTTCAACACACATTTATTAATTAGTCTTTGCAATTTCTGCAGAATATTTGATTTCTCGGATGTTCTGATCATGGACTGAAAATGAAACAGAACTCTGCGTGTGGAGTTTTTACAAATAGATGTATGTGCATTTGATTAGATAGTATTTTATTAAACATAGATTAGTCTAGTTTAGCTTGGTTTATTTTCTTTTACGATATATCAACCCCACTGGGTAATTTAACGTTAGATTGTTAGGATACGTTCGTATGAATAGAATACGTATTCTTTTTGAGAAATCAATTTGAAGATTTTCTTGCTGAGACTTATGTTTGTAAAGAGGGTTTGTTTTTCGAGATTCAAATGTATAGCTGGTAATATTTATTTTCAAAAAATGTATTGCTGGTGATATTTTTTGTTTAAAATTATATTGCTGTTATCTCTATCTATAAAAGACAGTGTGTGTGTGTGTGTGTGTGTGTGTGTGTGTGTGTGTGTGTGTGTGTGTGTGTGTGTAACGAATGCACGGCTGCAATTTTCGACGGATTTGCACCAAAATTTTCATGCACATGATCCAAGTTAGCGGAAAGGCCAAGACCAACTTTGCATTTCCCAACTCCCATCAATAGTGGAAATAATCGATTTTTCCATGCTTCTACGACAGTTTTCATGTAGTTTGCGGCCATTTTCTACTGGCCAGAGTGAGAGCTTATAGCTGGCTGCCACAAATAGGCAGAAGATTCTACTGGCCAGCGGGAGAGCCAATAGCTGACTGACACGAATGTTAACTAGCATGCTAGCATGCAAAAAAATTCGATAGCTGCATACGTCAGAAGTGGGAAAAATTTAAATCTGCATGGCACTTTACTCCAATTGGCTCATTCGCTTGCTTAAACTCAATGTTGATTCTGATTCCGCAGAACTGGGTTGGGTGTGAAAAAGTATTTGTTGTTAACATTCTTTTTTCATTTGTTTTTTTTCAGTTACGAGTCCTTTTTTAAAGCTGTTCGTTTTGTGTTCATTTTGTTTAGTTCTTTTTTCGTAACAGATTTAATGTTTAGTATAGAGCTTAGAAAAAATTCGCAGTGTGAGATAGGCAAGAAGTAAGGCATGTAGCAACATCAGCATGGCAAAGGGCACTCGTTTAAAGGCAAGGAAGGGCCAAAATATTTTAAGTCAAGTGATAGAGATTGCTGTATGAGTCGTACGATTTTTGAATCAAGCACGGGCATCGCCGGGCCATGCTGCTAGTTTTTACTATTAAAATCTATACTTAGATTTTCTTAGTATTTTGATCTCAGTTTAGGGGTTTAGCCCATAACCGAGACCCCAACAGGTGCTCCCACCACATGTCTGGTTGAAACTTGAAACAGCAATTAAAAGATGGTTCCACGTTCCGCAAAACCTCCAGATCAGAAGTCTTGCTGTCAGATATAGTTTATTCTCATACAGAGAACGATAGACCACTCTAGTAGTAAGATTCTATTTGTTGTCTCAAAAGTCTATACACCCTAGGAAAAGATGCATATTTTCAAGAAATGAAAATTTCAACATTTTATTGAATAGGAATATTAACAAATATCTTCAATGTGATTTCCATAATCTGTGATGCAATTTTCAAGATCCACGCGAACTCGATACAATAACTCCACATTGCCGACAATTTTAACACATTCACTCTTGATGTATTCAATCAAATGTTGCATTTATGATTTTCTTTAAGGCCACCTTCTCATTTAGCTGACCGTAGAAAAAGAAATCAGTTTTTTCTTCTTTAAACAAAACCATGTTTAATTTGTGGAGGTAAAAAAAATATGTGCCCAGATTTTAGAGATACACAGTATAAAGTACGAATGTTAACCTGAGTCAATAGAATAGGAAATAGTCTTCAATGTAAGTTTGTTAAGCAATATAATATAGAGGCTGCTCCTATCCTTAAGCCTTGTTAGAAATATGGTACAGTTGTAATTTAAAATAAATAAGAATGCCAACAAATTTCTTCATCATATGCAATGTCTTTGATTATCTTTCCGGAATCTAGTGTCCGCTTTGAATTCTTCCTTGTTTCGTTGATGCCATTTGTTTAAACAAAGAAGACCATCTTAATTTCATTAAGTTTTCTCTCGGCTTATAATGGATTCCATTAAGTAGAACTGCCACGATGTTCTCATTCAAAGTAGCCATGGTTATCCCAAAATCTTCATATTGACAAGTAAGTTTTGTTTTTCAAAGAAGGTTCTACGTTTACAAAAGGATTTTGGAAAATAATTTAAATCTAATCAACCACATGGCATGATCTAATGGATATCTTTATAATCGTAATCAATTCGTATAAGGCAAACATACTATGCCGATGTTCACAGAAAAAAAAAACAGTATATTCACTTGCAAGCATCTACGTAAAGTTGGTAGATTTATAAGATTGATTTTATATATCAGTTCAAACAAAATATGAAATGAAACTTTTTAATTAACAATTGCGTTTTGAATGAAACATTTTGACAACGATGGGACGCGAATAGACTTTCAGTTTGACCGCAGATTTTACGCTGCGGACAATGAAATGCTATAAAAATGTGTGTAACAAAATACAACACTCTACTCTTTCCCCTGATCCAGCGGGAAAATATTTTCAACCAAATAGGAGTTCGGATAAGACTTTTGATTACCCATGCTTCTCAGCTTGTTTCCGGTGACACTCTATCATTTACGCCAGTAAAAAAGCTTGATAAAAGAAATTTATATCAAGTTTATTTTCAGCCAATCAGAAGAACGAGATTTGAAGCCTGAGTAAATTTTAAGAAATTAACTTAGTAAGCCGACCAATAGGAATATCAAGAAAGGCATTCCCGTTTAAATCGATATTCATCGCGATACTGTTCGTGTGTGAGATGAAGATGAGTTCAGCAGAACAATTAAACTTAGCAGTAGGTTGGGAGGGGAAATGGCAATAGATTCCAAGATACCCCGTGACCCACAAAAAAACTCCAGGACAAAACGCGAAAATGTAAAACAGGGACTTTAGAACATTTTTATCTGAAACAAACAGACGACTTGATCAATTTTATCTGAATGATACGATGTCTACTCACTCTCCTTAAATAGCATTCTGTATGGCTGTACCAACTTTTGAAATTTTACAATTGACCAACATAAGGCAACTCTTTCAATTCAGAAAAAACCGAACGGATCAACAATATTTGACAGCACCTTGTTAATTCGCTGATATTTAAAAGGCTTTTATAATTTAAAATGTTACATACGTTCCGATTTTCTCATGAAATTTGTCTCAAAAAACTTTTTTTTTATTTTGCATTTAAAGAGACGTTAAATATTTTTTCTTTTGTTTGTGGAAAAATCTCATGATTTTAGGTATTCCTGTGGATGTAATTTCAAGGTGTGAAAACCTAGTGTAGCTAAGGATGATGTTAGAGACTTACAAGGATGCTAATCACTCAGAGAAAGAGAATATTTCATGAAATGGTACCCCAAATCAACGCTGGTGTCGCTTAATCCATCAGTCCACGTCCTGTATATTGTACACTGCGTTCTACGGACTTTGTTCATTGGCGAATAAAATTGACATTATTGAACGATGTCCAGTAATGTAATTGTTAATGAGTCGGATTAAGGAATCGCAGTGCTGAGTTCTAATTACGATCATGGTTTTATTTATTTATTTTTTTATTATCCACTTACGTGCAAAACCTCTTGAAAAAGGTGCGAATACGCCAGCAAATAAAATAGCAGAACAGACTGGGTCCTATAGCCATAGGTACAAACTAGGTCCTATATCATTGGGTAGTAACCGGTACAGGAGGAGGACAACTCTGAATTCAAATCCTCCAAATATGGGTTAAATAGTCTCACCAACTCGCAATTAATCAGGTGTGCTGCGTATGACTAAACCCTTGAAGACATGGTCAACGAGGGAGGGGTTCTACCAAGAGGAGTGAGGATTGCTTGATTGATTCATTTTGTTTAGCGGAATATCAATACATCTATGAGTCATTTAATGCCGAAATCTAAATAATCTGAACACAAGCTTATGGATTCAACTAAATATATTGGTCATTTCATATATATATATATATATATATATATATATATATATATATATATATATATATATAAACATATTGTTTGTATTTTTACTATGAAAAAGTATTTTTGCATTTTCATAGTTTTGTTTTGTTTGGCCGGGGGCACTATTCCCCATCCCCCCTAACAGGTCCTACCACCCCGGGACATGGTGGACATAAGTGAGAAGGCACTGGATTTTGTTTTGTATTGACACTATGACATCATTTACTGCAAATAACCTAGGCCAAATAATATCGCCGTTGGACTCTGAAAAACTAACGCGCTATCACGCGAATCACATTTAAAGTCTTTCTTGTAAGAGGTTGATTTCATGTGTGGAGGAGACCGCTTAAGGATACGGGTTCATCTGCCTGCGTGATGTTGTATAAACTGAAAAACTGAAGTTCATATCTGAATCAAAAGCATGATCTATTTTATTTGAAAACGGATTTGTTGAAAAATATTAGTTCAACTCGCACTTTAGAGTCGAACAATGTCATTGAAGCTACATTAACTTTCAAATTTAGAGAGTGAAAGTTTGAAAAACATTTCCAGTTGTAGATGTTCGAGTTTGTTGAAATTGCTGTTTTTTTTTTTTTAAAGTTTTCTCTACTCAACGGCACATTTGCATATAGGAAGAAAATTCAGCGATAAAATGTTATCGACCAAAACAGCTTATAAAATAGGTTAATCCCCAGAATTAAAAATGATTTTTTACGGTTTATCAACCGGTTATTTAAAGCCAGAAAATAGTTTATTTTTAGGATTGTAAGAATTTAATTTAGATAATAAAGATTTAGAGATACCAGTCTTACTAATTTACCCATAACTTGAAGAAGGGAGATGGATCCACCTTTCCCAACAGTATTTGCGCTTAAGAGATTGTAAACAACACGATCGGGATTGAAACTCGGCCCACTAATTAACAATTCCGAGCAATTATCCATTACAGAACTCGCGCATCCAACCTTAAAGCATCTGGTATTCCCAAGAGGTCACCCATCTAGATAGTGACCAAGCTCGACGTTGCTTAACTACAGTGAACGTACGGGAAACGGTGCTTCAACGGGATTTTGTTTCTGTAAGCCTTAAAAAATTAAATATAAATTAAATTAAAAATAATAATCTATCTATGTTGTCAATACCAAAATATTTCTGCTGTTGAGTCTTCATGGGTCTCTCGAATTTCGAACTGAGCCTTTTATCTAATCTAAGCGGGAAAGAGGAAAAGTCGGTGATAGGAGATCAATAATAACTTCAACAGCTGTTGTACTGGCGGTAATAGAAAGCGGGGAGGGCCTTAGATTGAAAGTTCCAAGTTCTTCGTGGATTAAAGCATCGGTTCGTTAATTTGGTAGAATAGTAATTCAGATTTCAATACCTGGTGGACACAAGGCAAGTTAAGGGTGTTTCGTTAAGACGGATTATATATAAGGGTGTTTCATTAAGACGGATCAAAGTCAGCAGTAAATAAGTGTTACTGGTGAAAGTTTATTTATATCTCTATTGGATCATATTATTTATGTCATGGCAATTATGTGTGAAAATAATATTGCCCAAATGTCCACCAAATCTTAAAGAAAAAGACAAAAAAACATTTTCACATTTAAAATCGTTCCAACGTATCGGAACACCCTTTACAAGTGTAAAAAGAACAAAACGTGATATCTCGAGATATTGAAAACGTAACGAGAAAAGTTTATGCTTGTAGATTAAATAAAAAGTTCAATTTTTCCCTTGGATTTCTGTCAAAAATTAATTATTGTCTTTGGTTTACTTGCCCTAAAAGTACAGCTGATGATCTTTCAAAGATTGTAATTTTGATTAGGATTTTGAATTTGTGCAGATCATAATATAGCCTCGAGGTTTTCTAATATTTTTGCACAAAGTAAAGGACATCTATCTTATATAAAAATGGTACAAGAAACAGAAAAATAACATGTTGTTCAGTAATAATCTTAAATATTACACTATTTACTTTGTCTTAAAACCTGGATGACAGAGCTAACTCCTGTGCCAGGGAACATCTCAACAGCGACCACCGAATTGAACTAATTTTTCAAATATTTAGAAAGCAACTCTCATCTGGAATTCTACTTGCCTTCAAAGTGCTGCTAAATATGGCCTGATGCACTTATTATAAATAGAGAGATTCTTTAAAAAATTCAAAAATCTGCAATGTTATTGTTCCTGACCTGGCATCCTGGATTCAGTCGCTTTCCCGCCGCCCTAAAATAGCGCCCCTGTGAATTATTCTCTAAACGCATGATAGCTGTTCTTATGAACTTTCCTCTGCGTGTAAATTGTAGATATAGAAACTAGTTCAGACTACATAGAGACTTTGTGGTATTATGGTGACTACAGCAAGAATGTTAAGTAAGTGTTATTTTGATGTAAGGAATACTGTTGTATATTTGTGTCAGTAATCGTGGCTAGATAAGTTTAAGATAAGACAAACTGAAGACCAGCGCCTTCCCTTTTCCCGGCATTTGATCTTGTGTAACATTTTTGTATTAAACAAAATAAATATTACTTTCCTATATGATAGCTAGACTTTATAAATTAAAGCGCAGTTTAAGATTTTATTTTATCGCACTTTTCTCTTGTGGAATTATTTACCGGTTTCTTACTTTCCAGCCAACTTTGACCTTCAAAAATGTAATGTCAGTCGCTATCTACTGTCTTTTTAATTCCTCTTCTTTTATTGTTCTCTCTCCTTAATACTGTTTTTCTTTTTCTTATATTCACACTCAGTAACCTCTTGCGTCTTAGTGACTTTACTGATTTGGGGGCGGAATGATCAAAAAAAAAAAGAAAGTAAAATGTATTTTCATTACTGAAAAACATATTCACCCAATGTGTTCGTTTTTAAATTCACCCTGACAATGTGTTCGTTTTTAAATGTTAGTCCAACGTTTTAGTTCTGTACCTGAAGCATGTCTCTCTCTCTCTCTCTCTCTCTCTATATATATATATATATATATATATATATATATATATATATATATATATTAAGAAAGCTTTATTCTATACTTTATCTAGTATTCTTTTTATGCAAGTGTAGGACAGGTTTTTCGGGAGAATTTTTGTCATTTTTATCTCGACCGAAAATTCAAAATTCAAAATTGGAAAGTTTTTTTTTTTGTTTTTTTAAAAAAAACTTTCATTCTTTAATATTTGTCGCTACTGAACACGAAAGTCTAAATAATAAAACTATTAACAGATGTCTACTTTTTGAAAAGTGTGTATCCACATTACGCTCAGAGAATCGTTGTCGAATTTTCCTTGCCTCAATACCATTTTTATTCCATTCCAAAATGTCATTCTTCCGTTCGAAGATTACCTGACTGAAAAGATGAATTGTAGAACTGCAGTCTCTAGAATGGTCAATAGTCTAAGTCTATGCGAACTTGCTATCCATTTATTATTCGCATCTCTTAAATTCTTCATAAAGGAGACTGATTGATTTGTTTCTCACGGCTTACCAATCGTTTGCATTTTATTGAAAGCCAGAAAATAATTTTAGATTGTTATGTGTTTTTGGAAATAGAAAAATATCTATTGATACAAATTCTACTAATTAACCCATACCTGGGGAAGAAAGGTGGATTCATACCCTTTCCCAAGAGTATTTTCGTTTAATTGAATAAAAAAAAAGGACCGAAATTGTAACTCAGCTCTCCGATTTAAGAAAAATCGGAACTGTTTATTCATTCCACCACACTCAGATCGAAACTTCCATCACATGTTATTCTCAAACGGTTACCCATTTCGATAGTGATCAGGATCGACGTTGCTTAACCTAGGTGATCTTACTATGTTTCAACGTGATATGACCGTCATCTTTTAAAGGGTGGTGAATTCCACTATGCTTGAGACCATTTGTTTCAATAAATATTAAACCTGCTTTTATGCGCTATGTATTCGATCATAATATATCTATATATTAGATATTTCCATGTAGAGGAAGGAAAACCCTGATTTTAAATCTGCACTGCCTCACAGTCATATAGAAAATGTTATGGAAGTAAATCCAGACAAAAAATGCCGTTCTAGATACCTGAAGGCGGTTAGCTGTTAAAACTGACAACATTCCAGCAAATCTTGCAGCCATGCTAACATGAAATGTAATGCTACGTATTCCTTTAGACCAGGGGTCGGCAACTCATTCGACCCCGCGGACCGGATCTTGTTATAATGACGGGTCGCAGGCCGGACGAAGGCCATTAATGAAAAATTAAGGAAAATTACATATGCAGACCCCTGTTAAACCTAAATATTTAAAACCATAATGAATATAAACATTGAGAAATCAGAAAAACAAAAGAAAATCTAAAATCAAAAAACACCTAACAAAAATTATTTTTCCTCAATGAACGCCAAACTCAAAATACTTCAAAGTCAAAAAAAATCAACCGAAGTGAAATGGATGAAATTATGACGTGTAGGTTTGAAACTGTTATTGAAAAATGGTTCCACAAACAAACCACACACACACACATAAAAAAAGAAGCACATATACCCATACATATGAGTACAAATAGTTGCAAACATATACACTTACGTACACATACTGTATCATCCACACATTCATGAGGCATGTATGTATAATGCGCGTATGTTTAACTGTTTTTAGATTTCTGCTAACTCGCATGTCAGTCCCTCCCTAGCCTCTGTCAATTAATCGTTCCTTTCGCTTCTGTTATCTTTTAATATACTCAAGGGTCATAACAAATGTGTATCCGTTATTTGACATTAAACGTAGGGAACGCAACTTGGTAAAATAAGTCTCATGAAAGATAACTGGCAGATAGTCTAATTCAAAAGCCTCGTCCCTCATGTTATTATTGGTAATCAGGCTCGCGGGGAAGTCAAAATGCCTTAGCGTAGGTTGCTGACCCTTGCTTTAGACTATGTCGATCCACCCGTGAGGGTGAGGTAACCATCGCGCCGGGGTAGATTGTTCTAGTTCCACGTGCCATGCCTCTGCCGGATGCTTCAGTTTAACTAAAAAGTTTTTGTTTCTCCGCTGCGGTAGACAGGTCACAACTATTTGGGTCAAGTCACTGGATCTAACCAACGCATTTATCTACTGAGCGATGGATATATGGCTCAGTGGATAAAATCTACTGCAGTAATAAAACAAAAACTTGAAGAATTGAATTAAAGGGAGATAACTGATACTATAACATACGGAAGAGGCATGAGTCATGGAACTAGAACAATCTACTCCGGTGGACGAAACAAAGAGTTCAGTTCGAAATTCCAATCCCCTGAAGACGGTCCGAGTGTGAATTATGGCAACAAAGATGAAGACAACAATCCGAACAATGTTTTTTTAACCTGGGGAAGGTTACTGAATAGAATAATTGTTGTGGTAGGATCCACCTAATTTGCATAGTGGAGTACCGACCATATAAATATGGTTGGTACCGGGAAGAGAGGGAGGAATCAAGAGATTCAACCAGAGACTCTGCCCGACTGCGACTCAGTCAACACATTCTCCAGGAACGGTCTTCCCAGGAATATACAAAAGACTATATGTAAATATTGTGTACACTTTCTTGTTTCAATACATTTTGTTCTAAGTACATTTTGTGTTGCATTATTATTACATGCATTAGTCAAGTTTCAACAATAATCAAACGAAGTTTCTAATGAACGAAATATTTAGGACAAGAACAACACATATAAGATTCGCCAGCGGGGCGTAGAAGAAGTAGTCAACTGCTAGAAGTAAGTCAAGTGAATTCCACAATGAATTTCCAACTGAAGAATATCTATCAATCGTCCCACACGGACAGATGTGGCACAAGGGCGAATTTAATGTGGTTATCAAACTCCGTAGAACTCGTATAAAAGCGGTCGGGTAGCTGTTTCCAGAGACGAGATTCTGCCTTTCAACATAGTCTCATCTGGGAATCTTCTCTGCCAGAGGCAGAGAGTTTGACCAGTACAGCTGGAGACGAATCTCCAACTGCAGACCAACATACAGTATTTATTGCTGTATTTATGTGAATGGGCACATACACATTATCGTCCGTAGGTATTCTACAGTAAATGCAAAT